TTTACACTGTAAATATATTTAATCAAACATTAAAAAGACTAAATATTACACAAGATTTTATGTCAAATTAAAACTAAAAAAAGAGTTATTTTCTGTTCTTTTACTGGTGTTTTTTTTACAGCGTGTTGTGAATATGAAACTACACTGTGATTAATAGCTGTTGGCAGTTTGTTTTATCCAAACAATGTTGTTTGTTTAGCCGCACCCTAATAACTGTAGTGAGCTGCAGTGTGAACACAGACACACTTTCTCTTTATATCAGCTGAGATATAAACTCACAGTGGACACTAACAACAAAGCACTGAAGCATGTGTCAAGTTTTATTACTCAATTCTTTTCTATTCTGACATTTTACAACATTTACAACATCATTAACCACTTTGAATACTTTATACATGTAGAACTTTTGTCTGTAATATACTTTACTTCAGCAGGAAGTGTTTTATTCTGGAACAGTATGAATATTGTTGTTCAATTATTATTATAGTTATTAAAGACAAACGTACCTGGAGGTCTCGAGCTCAGTCTCACATTAAGAACCACCAACAGTCCCAGAGAGGACAGAGACACCTGTGAGGACACCTGGAGACAAACTCCACCCACATGAATCCACACTTTCACTTTTATATCTTATAATAAGCAGGTTTATCCATGCAGACACTCCCAAAAACAGCTGCTCATCCAGAGAATGAAAGAAAATCTCTGAAAGCAATAAACAGTTTTTAAACTCACAGAAAAAAAATACAATCAGACCTAAAAACTAAAATGCTAAAACAAACAGTTGTCTGGGTTTAAGAATATATTTAACTTAATAAGATAACATTGACGCACATTATAAGTTCCTCAGGGTTCTGTGCTCGGACCAATTCTATTCACATATTTGATTAAACTGAGATATTCTGAGTGGAGTTGGTTGTTTAGCTGTTTTATACCTGTAATACATTAAAATATAAACAATGAACACTGCAAAATGTTTACCGTAGTCACAACAAAGTCTTTATGAAGCTGAAACAACAAAACAAACATCAGTGAAGACGAAACATACAAACTTAAAATGATACATTTGTAGATAAGCAATATTTAACTGGTGAGATTTTGAATGGAGTTTGGTGAGTTTGTCCCTGTGGTTGAGCTGTGAACTGAAACCACAGCGACAAAATCACAGTAAGATCAACACTGCAAAAAGCTGCAGTCACAACAAAGTTTATACAAAGTTGAACCACAGTCCATTAGAAAAATACAGTATTTTAGGACTTCAGGGCCCCTGTTCACCCTCACTTTAAACTACAGACATAAAACCAGGCATAAACAGTCCTGGTGGTGTCAGCAGGTGTTCGGCACTGTGTGCTTGTTGTTTATGTTTGTTTATTTCCTCCTCAAGTCAAAACAGGAAGAGCTGAGAGCGGCCGCTGATTGGCTGAGAGACCCGGCAGCTGGCAGCACGAGCCACCAGCCTCAGCCCGTCAGAGTGACGACAAAACAAGTTAAAAACAACAAAACAAACAAACATCAGAGCAGAAGAAAGTAAACAACAACAGCAGCGAGCAGGGACCAACATGCCCACGGAGCTGTCTGCAGCGTCAGGCCGGTCAGCGAGCGTCTGTCTGCGGGGAAACAGCGTGAGGCAGCCCGGGGCATCATGGCCGCTGTGACCGCCGACACCCGCACACTCATGACGGATCCAGTCCGACTGTCGGAGCGCAGCGGCCGGGTCGCGGAGACCTGGAAGAGAGACATCCTCCGTCAGCTGAAGCACCGAGACCTGAGCCAGCACGACCGGTTCCAGGACCTGATCCGCTTCTGTACGACGGACAAGTACAAGTTTAAATCTGTGTAGAACAGACAGGCCCAGTGTGCGCTAACAATGCCAGCAACCAAACTCCGTTCAAAAAGCTGCTCATTTAACAGTTTCATACTAACGAGGCTCAGAATGAGTTCTTTCAGTCACAGCTTCAGGAAGAAAACTCCGACTTAAAAACAGTGATTTTCTGAATGGAGTTTGGTTCAGATTTGACCCAAACATTATTCTGAAATGTATAATCTGTTCAAGTAGGATACAAGAGAGATTTCTTCCGCTGTCAGCTACTAAATAACAACTCTAAATGAAAAGCAGTGATTTTCTGAATGGAGTTTGGTTCAGAGAAACCCTACCACCTGTCATACCTGGTAATCAATCAGTCACTTTTATTTGGCAGGTATGCATATAGATTACAGGTAAAGTGAAGCCAACATTTATTTTGAAATGTATCATCTGTTAAAGTAACACACAATAGAGATTCATTCAACTGTCAGCTACTAAATAACAACTCTAATTAAAAACAGTGATTATTTGAATGGAGTTTGGTTCAGAGAAATCCTACCTGTCAAAGATTCCAGTACAGCTGTTATTGCAGTCAGAGCTCTAATTAAACCCAGATGTTCTACAGATGTTTGAGCCAGCTAAAGACAGGAATAGTGACCATTTTTAATTCTGTTCATTTTATTTAATTATCACGTTATAGATCCAAAAAGAAACTGTAAAAAAAACAACTTCCTGTCCCAAAATAAAGAAACTTGTTGTCAGTAAACTGAACCATATGTTGTTCCACTTCCTCCGTACAGTGACTCATCTGTGACGGGTTATCAGTCCGCTGCTGTGTCATCGTCTGCACCACGCTGATGGAAATATATATTTTACTTTAGAGAGGAACCTAAAGAGTCAAATTAAAAGTCACTAAATTAAAATGATGGCGTTAGACGTTAGAATATTTTCCTGTTCCATTTTTTAAACGTCTCAATCTTAAACTGGTCAGAATTTGAATGGAGTTTGGTTTGAGTTTCTCTCAGTGGCAGCAACAAAATCACAAAAGTATAAATGCTGCAAAAACTTTACTGTAGTCGCGATAAAGTGACGTTGAGTCAAACTCCAATAAATCCAGTATTTTAGGACTCCGGAGCTTCCGTACGTTCAGCATCAAAACACAGAAATATAAACAGTTTTGTTGTCGTTCTTTGTTTATTTGTTTGTTTTTCTGTGTTATTTTCCAAGTTAGCTCTGTAGCTAATGTTAGCATGTGTTAGCCCTGTTGTTCACAGTCGACACAGATAATAATATTCCAGCAGCCGAGCGCCAAAAAAAGACAATAAAATAGAATAGAATAGAAAATATCTCATTAAAATACAGTTTTTATCTTTGATTTGACATAAAATCTTTCTGTAATTTTTATTCTTTTTAATGTTTAAAGATATTTACAGTGTAAAACAATGATCTATAAATCCAGGTGAACTCTGCTATAATACAATATAATCAGCTACATTTACAGCAGGAGGGCGTTATTATTGGATTTGTGTGATTATTTTATTTTTGTGAATGTTTAGGAAAGTAAGAACTGTAGTAAAGTGATTGCTCTGTGAAATGAAGCTGAATTATTGCTGTTTACATGTAAGAGACTGTATGTTGACAGTGTTACAATGCTGGTATGCTACATGATAAACATTTTTCACTCCCGTCCATTTATAACGGGGCGGGTATCTGTCGTTACTACTGAATCCTTAGTGCTACAAGTGGCAACTACATAGCGTTGCTCTATGTTACGATTTCAGCAGGTGCCTAATTTTACTGTTTATTTATAAATTATTAACAGAATTAAACTTGAATTTAACAGTTTATCTACTGTAAATACAGTAGAATGTAGGAATTAGTAGATTTAAAAAAAATTATTTTGAGTTCTTTATTGAGGGAAAAAATTTCTTTAACATATCAGTAATGTTACAGATTTTATCTTACGGTTAGGCAGAGTGGGGGTTTGTTTCACGTTGGTTTACCCTGTAAATGCATGTAATTATACAGGGGATATTTTTAGGTAATGTATTGATGTTTCATATTTACGCAAACAGAACAAGTCGTTGGGGGGGCACAAGTAATTAGAAAGTCGGATGCCGCAGAGACCAGCCCGGTTTCACTGATGGCTGTCTTTGTTTTCGACCTCATGTCTGCTTGGGACCAAAACGGGCTGGCCAAGGGATGCGGCTGAGGCTGTGCCTCCAGGTACACTCAGCCTGCTGGCTGTCTGGTACCCTGCAGGCCTAGACAGACCTCCTGGTGGATGATGATGATGATGATGATGATGTGACGGATCGTGATGATGATGGATGATGAAGGTGTGTCTGTTTTGTGCTGCGACGTCGCGCTCCTCGACGGAGCAGCATCGCTGTGTGCGTGCACCAGAACCAGGGTGAAGAAGAACGGACCGGAGAGGTGGTACGACACACGCTGCTCACCTGTCTGCTTATTTTGAGGGTGATATTACTATTACTATCTATTCATTAACTGGTATCGATTATATTATATTATTTTATATTCATAGTATTGTTCCTCATTGATTTATTTTCCATATGCTATTGTAATATGCTATATTTGGATATTTATGTTTCTACTTATTTCTGACTTCATATATTTAATATTATTTCACTATTATATTGTTACTATGCTTCGGCTATTATAGTTTATCTTCGCGTATTAATTGGTATTATTTCTCTGTTCCATCAAATATTCCAGTCTCTCGTTTTAATTGTTCGTGTGTTTTTTTAAAGTTTAAACCTCTTGTACGAATACTGTGTGTGAGTTTTGCTGTTTTTGGCACGAGATTTTATAAAGCTCGGCCTGTGACGGTTTTGTTTCAGCACTGTATTCTCAATTTTCCACTTAACTTTTCAAGATCTTCAAATTTATACAGCCACAATATACGATTTCTTCCCATATTTATATTTCTCTCATCCTCCACTCTTCCTGTCGGGTGGTGGTGGTGGTTGCGGTGGTGGGCCTTCAGGTGGTGGAGCTTGCAGCGGCAGATTAGATCAAAACAAAAGTGGAATTGTGCTGGATGAGCAACAGTGCCGGGTGAGCTAACCACACCTGAACCTGTCTGCTACCTGTCTGCCTCATCGCTGTGTGTACCTGTGTGCCTCCTGTGTGCTCACCTGTCTGCTCACTGTGTGCTCACCTGTGGTCTCACCTGTCTGCTACCTGTCTTGCCACCTGTCTGTCACTGTTGCTCAGCCTGTCGTCTCACCTGTCTGCTCACTGTCTGTCACCGTGACACCCCCGTGGTGATCACCCTGTCTGCTCACCTGTGTGCTCATCTGTCGGCTCTGATGGGGACGAACCTCACAGCCGGTTCAAACTGTCCCTTCAAGGTTGATGATTCACATTCTCAAGTTTAAGACACTTCGCTGCCCTCAGCCAATCAGAACGGAGGATTCTGAGAGCGTTTTTATGGCTCGTCTTTAAAAAAACCAGCAGCGCCAGTTCCTGATAGTTAGAAAGACTTTTATTCTGTCTGTTTATTCTGTCCAGTTTGAAGTGTGTTTTCGGATTATCTTGTGGCAGTGAAATGAATGTATATAACCTTTAACAGATGGAAAATGTGTAGATATTATATGTTCCCAGTGTTTCCTCGAAATATTCGGGTTATTTCTCAGATTTAGTTTTGCCAAGCAGCCACCTGGTGTTTAGTTTGTTTAGTGTCTGGAAGTTTTAAACTTTAAACTGTCGACAATGTGCTCAGACTGTTGAAGGAGGAGCGTCGGCTGGCGGGTGCGTTTGACGCTCGTCAGGAGCTGCTGGAGCGGGTGGAGCAGGTTCAGGCGGAGAACGGGGCGTTGAAGATGGAGTACGACGCCCTGCTGGAGCGACAGCGGGGTGCGGAGACGAGCCTCAGAGAGGAGAAGGTCCGAGGAGGGCACCTGCTGGAGGACATGATCCAACTGAAAAAACAGGCCGCCGCCCGCATGAACAGCCGCAACGAACGCAGGTCCAGGTACCTGAACGCACCGCACACACCTGAGCACACCTGTTCATCACACAGCTAAAGAGCAGGTTCCTGAACACACCACCGCTGTCTGTATGTTTCCATCAGAGCTCGAGAGGCCAACCTGCAGAAGGAGCTGCAGACTGCTGCGAGGTCAAAGGTCAGCGTGGACAGGTAAGATCCACCTGAGCTCATTTCTACCAGAACATCCCCAAAACACATCTGTGTCTAACATCTGCATTTTACTGCGTCTGCGTTTCTGTCCCAGAACAGGAGGTACTGAACCCTCGAGGGTCAGAATATTATTAATATTAATATTACGTTGAGAAAAAAGATGGAATAGGATTATTTTATAATTTGGAAAAATAATCAGAAATTAAAGAAAATATTCAGAATATTTTGTTAAAAATCAGAATTTTGTTGAAAGAAAGACTTTTTTTTATTTATTATAAAAATTCTAAATATTTCAAGAAAAACCAGAAAAGTCGACTGGAAACTTGAGGTTGAAGACAGGAACAGGCTCTTATTTTGGTAGTTTCATCTTCGGACTCTCAGGGCGTCGTCTGAGGAGAAACTTTAATCTGATGATGAAGATGATGAAGATGATGTTCTTGGTCAGTTGATTTTGTGTTTCAGTCCTTCCAGCGCTCCGACCTCCAGATCCACGTCTCCAAAGAACGAAAACGGGTCCACAGAGAGAAAACACACCCGACTGTTCAGGTTGGACGCCGTCACAAACTGTCATTAAACTGTTATTGGATTATTATGAATGAACCTTCCTCGCTGCTGTTGTATATATTCCTGTGTCTGTCTCTCAGATCAGCGTCGGTGACGTCCCCGAGGATCCTGTCCTCCATCAAAGAGCTGTTCGAGTGAGTGCTCCGGTCCGCCCACGGCTGTGACCTGAAAACTTTATTTATTCATTATTCACGGACAGTAACATAACGGTCATGTGACTGTGTGTGTGTGATGTCAGCAGGAAGAGGCGGGGCCACTCAGTCTGCAGTCTGGAGGAGGATCTGATGTGTCCTGTAGGAGTCTGTCTGTCAGCCCGGGTCCCCGTCAGAGCTCGACAAGTACTGGTAATACACACAGAGAGAGTACACACCACTTCTGACAGGTACTGACCTCTGCAGACCGGGAACCCCCCCACAAGAACTGCAGGTTTGGAGATGTTCTGACCCAGTCGGCCATCACAATGTGGTTCTTGTCTCATAAAGAAGCTCTGTCTCCCCCCTGTGGACACAAAGCAAACTGCAGGAGCAGAACCAGCTCTCACTCTAATAATATTAATGTCACTGATGTCTCCTGTTAATAAAGTTTAAGTGAATTGAACAGAGAGATAATATGAAACACACACAGTAAGCGGCTCCTCTGTCAGCGCCTCATTACCCATCATGCCTCTCTCTGTTGACCTTCAGTTGACGCACGGTTTCTGTGGACTCACCACCCCCCATCAAGAACTCTTTATCCGAGGTTCCACACGTCCTTGAAAACCTGGAAACTGATTAAAATGAGCAAATATCCTGGAAACAGGGTTCTGATATTATTGATTATTGATTTGTATCGTTACCTGTTTGAGTCTGTTGTTTTTTTCTTTTTGTGTCAAATTTAGAATCACGACTCAAACTGCAGTGACGTTATGTGTCGATCAGGACGAATTCAATAAATCATCAGTAAATAAATGAGAATATGTATTCAGTGAGTTGCAGTCTGTAACGTCCCCACTAGGTGTCACTGACTCCTGCTGCGAGGAGCTCGTTCTGACTCTTTCCTGTTTCCTGTTTCCGATTTCCCGCCCTCTGTCGCTCAGGAGGCCCACGAGCAAGGCATCAACGCTGTGAGGTTCAGCTCCAGCTCCGACCTGCTGGCCACCGGAGGAACTGACCGAGTCATCAAACTGTGGGAGGTCAGAGCGGGTGCGTTATTATTTTACTTTATTGTGTTGTTGTTGTTGTTGTTGTTGTTGTCGATGTTTGTGACCTCACTGGTGATGTCATCAGGCTCGCTGACTCACAGAGCGACTCTGGAAGGCAGCACAGAGGGAATCACCTGCATCGAGTTCGACCCAATGGTAAAAACCACTCCCGAACCAGAACTTTAGTCCCCCCTGCCGTACCTGGATCAGGTGTTAATGATCTCTGTGGACTCTGCAGGGTCGGAGGATCCTCGCCGCCTCCTACGATAAGTCGGCCCTGCTGTGGCGGCTGGAAGACTCCGTTCCCAAGGTAACCAAACTCCATAGAAACCTTCGTACATTAGAGAGACCGCACTGACTGCAGATTCAGTCTGTGGGGAGAGAGAGTCTATACTGCAGTCAGCCACCAGGGGGAGATAGAGAGTCTATACTGCAGTCAGCCACCA